TATTTTTAGCACAAAAAGGAGGACATGTCCGGGTAAATCCGGACGAATGGTAACCCTACTCATGGGGTCACTCCCTACCCCAGCCTAGGGGTCAGGACACCCCAGGGTGCAGCCAAGATGGCCGACACATGGAGGAAGGGGGGGGCCACGACCCTTCTCACTCCCTGGCAGATGGGGGGGTGCAGTGGCTGGATCCTATCCCAGTTTCAAACCCAAAGGGTTGTGGGGGGGCAAAAGGGTGCTGAGGCTGCATGAAAACTCCCCCCTGCCCCCTGCTAGTGTCAGCGAACAGACCTGCCCTAAGCGTGGATGTGAGACTGCTCTGAGCTGGGTATTGGAAAGGGTGAGTTTGATTCGAGCCAGCTGTCAGCATGCTGACCGTGCCTGGTAGGACAGGGATGGGGAAGGTGCTCTGGCTTCTATGGATAGCATTTGGGGGTTCAAACTTCACCAGGACGGTCACTGGTTAAAGTGACCCTGCCCAGTGAAGAGATGAAATAAACAAGGATTTTTCTGTAATATTTTTACAACACTATATGTGCCTCAGTTTCCCCCATGTGTTGCATGGCTATCCAGTTGCAGGGGTAAGGGCGGGGATTAACTTTACTCTCAGGGCAGGATAAGAGACATGGGATGTGTGTCACCTCCCTGTGAGGGTGGAATAAAGGCTCCTTAAGTAACTTGTTGGACTCAACCCAGATCACCAAGGGGGCCAGAGAGACAAGGCAAGCGCTGCTGACTCCTGGATTTCCCCACCTCTCTGTCGGGAGGCTGAGCAGAGACCCCAGCTCGAGAGCACAGGACCGGGAGGTGGAGGGTGCTGGACAAAGATGGAGGCTCTCACCTGGAGCTGGCCAAGGAGGTCAGACGGAGACAGAGACAGCCTGGAAAGCGTCTTTCACTCCAGCTTGGCTGGGCCCTGGCTGACTGCAATGGACACTGCTTTACCCCCAGTTCTCTCTGCTGACCTAAGGCCGCTCTGTGACTCATAAACCAGCCTGGCTTGACAATGCTGCCGGGTGTCACTGCAAACACAGGCTGGGGTGTCGGAGCCCCCCAAGAGCGGCCAGGTCTCTCCAGGGGTCTGGCTCAGTGGGAGGCACCGGGCAGAGCTCGCGGGGTGGAGCAGGAGGGCTACAGCCCAGAGGGTCCATCTCAGAGGCGGTGGCCTGCCCTGCAGGAAGAGTGGGGCCCCTGGGGGGTGGCACTTTGAGGGCTGCTCCAAGGGGCAGAGTAAAAGCTGGGGCCCAGCACCGATCTTGGGGATCCGGGACATCCCCGGACTCTGACCCCTGTGTCTTGGCAGGTCTACGGCACTGTGATGCATGTGAACCGCGGGAACCCGGCTGGCCAGGAGGTGCTGGTGGATTCATGGCCAGAGTTCAAAATGGTCCTGACCCGGCCACGCAGAGAAGTGCGGCATTTGCTGGGCCCCTCCCATCTGCCCCGCTCCTTTCGCCATCGCTCCCCTCTCCGACCTTATGCCATCATTGCCCCGCTCGCCTCCCTGACTTCCTTGCCCCTTTCCCTGCTTGGTGTCATCTCTACCCCTCCCCCTCCTGTCTGCACCACATCCCCACAGCCTGACTCCCCCTCCTGCTGCCCAGACGCCCCGTCCCATTCTGCCCTAAGCCCACTGGCTCTGTTCACGGGGCCCCTTCCCCCCTCCTCAGTCTCTTACTTGGGGCTCGCTGTGCCCCACTCCCCCGATGCCGTTGCTGAGGGTCATGGGGTGGGGGCAGAGGCTGCGCTCAACCCCAGGCAGTGTCCCCCCTGCAGGTGGTGCGGGACCCAAGCGATTATTTCACCAAATTGTACACGGCCTTCTACCGGGACGAGGGAACCTGCCGGGCCCTGCTCGAGAACAGCCGCGCCGTGGACTGGGGCCAGGCCTTCCAGATACAGGGTGAGCCCCTCCAGCCCTGCTCCATCCAGTACCTGACACAGGGGGGGCAGGACCGTTCCCCCCCCGCATTGGCCAATAGCTCTGAGGAGCTCACCTGGACCCCTCCCACCCATGCACCTATAGCCCCGAGGAGCTCACCTGGGCCCCTTCTCCATCCAGACCCGGGATCCTGAATGAGCCAAGCTTGGGAACCCCCGCTTGGGTCATGCCGGCTCACAGTGGCCCTTGGCCCCTCCCTGCTGCTCTCCCCCACCGGGCCGGGCCCCCACGTCCATGGGCACCTTTCAGGTGCTCCTGCTGACAGCGCACGGCTGTCCCTGCAGGGCTGCAGGACGGGGTATACGAGACCATCAGGGACATCGCCAGGGCCAGGGGGCTTGAGATGGAGACGTATCCGTACCGGCCGCTGCTGCACCCAGACCCGCCTGCCATGCCCCAGTACCGGTAGGTGCCCCCAAGATATGGGGTGTGTGTGAGAGAATGGGGCAATGTACACAACCAGCCTGTGCTAGATGGAGGGGGGAGCGGGGTTGGGGGAAGGGAAGGGCCCCGGGGTGCTAGGTCAGAGGCCTCCATTGCGCCCTAGATCTAGTGGCAATGAGTTCCCCAGGCGAACGGTGCTGGCAGAGTGAGGGCATCACCACGGCCCCACACACAGCCCCAGGCCTTGGGCACATGCCGCCAAGGATTTCCCATCCTGCTCAGAGCCCATCCTGCTCAGAGTCAGCCCTAGAGCTTTGCTGGGGGGCAGGGGCAACCCAACCTGGCCAAGGAACCGCTTTGGCCCCAGAATGGGGAGAGCAGGGGGAGGGGCAGCCTGTAACCCT